TGCCCCTAGTTTCAGTTTCAGTAGGTATTCCTACTAGCAGGTACAAACTGCTCTAAAGCAGGTAAAAGACAGGGGAAGTCAGGACGGTGCGGACGCCGTGTTTTTCACTTTTCGCAAGGTGACTGGGTAAATGCTTTTGCGACATATTCGGAATATGCTAACGATTTTGTTATGCCCGTCGTTTGCGTCTCTCCAGCAAAACGAATAAGATGATCTACTACAAAGGCGCAATCACAAGCCAAGATTTAAGATAGCAGTCGTTTGCTTCGGTGATCCGTGTAGCTGTATTTTACCCTGCTCTCTGCAGCACCGTGTCATGACGAAGAGCTGGAACGGTCACGGTTTGTGGTGGCCTACCGGTTGACAGAAACCCGCATGGCCCGCATCGGCACCGAGTGCACTTGGGCTGTTGATGCTCAAGCCTTTCATCCGCGGCTTGTCGCCAGCTCATCCTGTTGGTCAACGGTGAGGAAGCGGCGAAAGTGACCGCTTAGGTAAAATGTAAATACTCGTTCATCCAGTTATCCGGTGTCAAAGTGTGGAAGATGTCCAACGTGTAGTGAAGGCGGAAACTATACGAGCGTTTTGTCTTGATTTTATAACCGAAACCAGAGCAGCGAGATAACTGCATTGCGTAGTCCAAAATTACGAAGCAATAAGTTTCAACAGGTCGAGTACGTCACCGGCGGATGTAGGCGAGACGGTGCACACTGTTTAAGCGCTTGCAGTATTCACGAGTGGTAACAGGAAAACGACGAAACGAAACGAAAGCAGAGAAGGAGTTCGCGATTCAGCATAATGGAGTGCCACAGGCCCGTGAATTTTCAAAATTCGAAAAAAATAACGGTATAAAAAAAGACGCATTAGCGTTACACCAGTGATCACGAATAACACCGGTTACAAACTCCCGAGCCCCACCGATCTTCTGAACACCGACACGACATACGACAACAAACAGCATCAAAACGCCCCAAAAGTGAAGACGTCTGTTCCCGTACTGCAACTAGCAGGAGTGAAGTGTTGGGCGGATGTCCTTCTGAAGAATATATAAAAAATGCTTTGCCCAATGATCATTTCCATTTGTTTATTAATTCCATAATAATAAAATCCCAATATTTTTTTAATCTGATTTAAGCTAGTCGGACTGATCATAACACCGGTCTCGCATGAAAATAACAAAAATTTGAACTTCTCACGAACGGTTTAAGATGTATTGTTAATATATCGTTATTTGACGCAACGGACTAACATTATAGATTTTGCCTCCATACTTTGTAAATGCAAACAGTTCTTACATACGTCTGTCCATTGCGCCGTGATTCGTGTCTTCTTCTATAAATCTGTAACGGTTTATAGAACGTACGTTCTATAAATCTGTAACCAAATATAAACCATTTTGACGTCACGGACGTCAAAATAACAAAGAATCCCAAATAACGTCATTTTGATGTCCGTGACGTCACTGGACACGCCACCTGCGCTTCAAATCGGTGCCGAAAATACGCAGTCCCGGATCGCGGAACACACGCGGAACTACAGTAGCGGAACTGGCAGAACCAGTCAGAACTGTGTCGACGTTTTCGACGTTATGGAAATCGCAGGAAACTGCGTCCAAACAGGCAGGTTTTCCTGCCGGCTGCCTGAATGCCTTCCGTGCTGAGTTCGGTTCTGTTTTCCGATGCCGAGTGCCAACCGGCAACCAACGTGGTTCTGTATTTCTGCGTGTCAGCAACATAGCAGCAACATCGTGATGACAGTGTTGTGCGTTGTGAACAGAAGATTGGAATTATCGCCGATGTGACCATGTTTGCATATAAGTGGTGTAGCAACAAGATGAGATGACGTAAACTGTCGGGCATTGATGCCGCTGGTCGGGCCGTGATCGGAAGGGGCGGGGTGTCGCAGGTTGACATTCCGCTTTACATTAAAGAGTTTAAGACAACTTGAGGTAGTAGGTGCAATCGATCTACGTGCGGGTAGTCATGTTGGAACGCTGGTCTGAACAGTAAGCTCCTATCGTACCCAAGCCAATGTGACTGTATGTTATCTCCTCCCCGAGAGCGATTGCGCTCTGGAGAAAGGACTGAACAGCACGAAATTATAACGGAAAGTACGTATATTTACAGCGTGGAATTTTAGCATTAAAGAGCAGTAGGTAAAATAAAAATAAAAAAGTTATGCTATATTTTGCTGTTTAAATATACTACGGTTCCTGCAGAAACTGCCCTCCAGGTGGCGCGCTGGGATGAGCGCTAGAAGTTCTCGAGCTCGCCACGGTGTAGCTCCGTACACTTAACACCTGTCACAAGTCGCAACTCTGACCGCATTCAAGATGATCGAAAAGCGATTTTTCTGCCCGTGAAGCATCACTTCCAGCTAAGTGAATATCCGCTCTACAGAGAATAATTCAGGACGGCAATTTGCAGCCGTGCGCGAACAGCACGAATAGAAAAAGAAAGACTACAATAGAAATACTGGCTACGACGTGCCATGCGGGGAAACAAACTCATTGTTTGGAACCGCATTGGAGCGGCTTGATTTATTGGCTTTCAAATAAGTACGGCATGATCGAGCGTTTTCTTTTCACTAAGAGATTCCCTTGAGCCATTCAAAATACTTTCAGAGGTATGACATTGCTGGGAAAAAATCAACATGCTGGAAATATACTTTATTGCCTAAGCAGTCGCCGAGAAATTCCATACGTTCAAAACGATCACTATAAAAGACGGAAACGCAAGCTCGGGTGTAGAGATCGAGTCGCTGTGCCGAAGTATTCATGTTTGTATGAGCCATGTATGTGTATGCGCTCAATGTATGTTCAGCTGATACTTGCAGTATGCGTAATGTGCCTACATCTGTGTAGAATAGAGGTTCCCGAATATCTCGAAGGAAATAAAAATATGTTTTGTAGAACATGAATTGGGCGGTATTTAGCGCCACATAGCCTAGCTACTTGCAATTACTCTGCTTGGCCCTGCCATCTCATGGTAAGTGATTTAACCTACTTTCACGCTACGCTATAAACAGCGGCTTCGAGTTTGTTCTTTTGAGAGCGGCTTTTGGTTTTGCAAATTGGTTTTTCCGTTCCTCCGTGATGCGCGGTTGACGAAGGAATTGTGACTCGAGCAACAGCAAAGGTAAGACGTAAAGTACGAAGTAACTGGGTATCGGTTTAACCGTTTGTCATCGCAGTGCCAACGACGAGAAGACTGAGTAACTGCTTTTAAAACGCAAGTCTCTGTACATGCAGGGAAAATCTGGCTTTTGAAAATAAACACAGTTCGCGGAAAGCTCGTTGTTCTGTTCTAAGCAGCAGACAGACGCCTTGATGGCAGCAACGCAAAAAGCCTTTATTCCCAGACAGCAGCGCTCTTTTATAGAGAACACTGCATGCCGGGCGAGCACACGTCATCGGGGTTATACAATTTTATCAGAGCCCGTGGCCGGTACGGAACATTCCTCCCTCCTTAAATTAAAGCTACACGCGTTTCTTTTCGCGTTCATAGTTGGAGGCTTGATAGCGATCTGGTGGACGTCTTGTGCGATTACTTCCTCGCAAAGGGGCCTCTTCGGGTGATGCCATGGCTGTAGCCGTGGTGATGTTTGAGGGCTGCGCTGCTGAGTGTTCTGCCTCAGGCTGCGATGCCAGTTGCTCTCTTGAAGTGGCGTCACCTAAGCGTACGTCGTCCAGCTGTTCCGCAGTAGGACCGCTAACCATGGATTCACCAGAGTTCTCACGTTCTGGAAGGTTTGTTGTAAAGTCCTGCTGACTACTGGCACTTAGAGCGGGCTCTGCTTCTTGCGCGACGTCCGGGTGGATGGATGTCTTTGGTCCAGATGTCCACCTGGGTCTCAAATGGTCGATATGGACAAAACGAAAATGATCTCCGACCTTTACTACAAACGTAGAGTCGCTTACGCGTTGTGCCAGGACAGCTTCCTCCCACGACAGGGTTTACCCTCTCGTAGTCTTCACGAAAACTGGATCGCCAACTTCCATCTGCAGGTCCCTTCCTCGGCCCTCGTTGCGATGTGTGGCGTCTCGGTTTTGACGACTCCTCATGTCCTGCACAAAACTTGGTTTCAAGAGCGAAAGCTTTACTCGAGGTTGTCGTTTCAGGAACAGCTCAGCCGGCGTTCTTCCCGTTACAGAATTTGGGGTGTTCCTGTAAGCAAGCAAGAAGTCGCTAAGTCGCTGATGCAGAGTTCTGTGCTGGCCTGTTAAGTTATCGTGAAGCACTTGCTTGAGTAGAGAAGCTTTTGTTGTCTGAACTAGCCTTTCTGCTGCCCCATTCGACGAAGCATGGTACGGTGGCGTACGAGTGTGTCGAATTCCGTGAGAAGCGGCGAAATCAGAGAACTCGTGCGAAGTAAACTGAGGTCCGTTATCACTAACCAGTTCTTCCGGGTAGCCATAGGCTGCAAATATCTCTTTGAGACAGTCGATTGTTTTTGATGTCGTTGTAGTACGGAGGCATTTTGCATCTATCCACTTTGAGTAGGAGTCTACTAGAAGGAATAAGTTCGAGCCATCCTTCATGGCGAAGTCGACATGAACTCTCTGCCAAACACAAGTTGGATAAGTCCATGGATGAAGTGGTCCTGGTGCCTTCGCAGGCAAGGTCGTTTGACACACTTTACATTGACGGACAATGGCTTCGATATCTTTGTCAATCAACGGCCACCAAACAAAAGACTTCGCGAGCATCTTCATTCTTTGCATTCCTGGGTGCTCTTCATGCAACAATGGTAACACTGCGTTTTTAAGCTCGTCCGGAATGATGACTCGTTGGCCCCACGTGACACAGCCTTGCTCGTACGATAGTTCGTTTCGACGAACGTGAAAAGGCTGCAGTCGATCATCGTAGTGCGCGGGCCAGCCAGATAAGGTGAACTGCACTACTTTGGAAAGAATGCGGTCCCTTTTAGTCGCACCCGCCACGTGGCTCGCAGTGAGAGGCGTTGAATCAAAGACTGCCAGACATTCTTTGGTGTCGTCTTTATGCTTGACTGGAAGTGGCAGCCTTGAAAGTGCGTCAGCAACTTCCATGTTTTTGCCGTTTCTGTGCCGTAGCGTGTACTGATAAGCTGCTAAGGTGATAGCCCAACGCCGAATCCTCGCTGCAGCCAGAGAAGGAATTGGCTTATCTGATGCCAAAATGCTCAACAGCGGTTGATGGTCTGTATAGAGCGTGAATTTGCGTCCATACAGGTATCTATGAAATCTGCTTAAGCCAAAAATTATGGCCAGGGCTTCCTTCTCGCCTTGTGCGTAGTTACGCTCCGCCGCGTTCAATGTTCTGGAGGCAAAGGCGATAGGTCTCTCTGAACCATCGGGCATGACGTGACAAATAACGGCTCCAAGACCGTAGGCGGACGAGTCGCAGCTTAATCCGATCGGTTTTTTTTTACGTCGTAAAATGTCAGAACTTCACTGACGATGAGTCGCTGCTTAGATTCCACGAACGATCTTGAACATCCGTCCGTCCAAACCCAACTCTTGTCCTTTTTGAGTAGATCATACATTGGCGCAGCAACTATTGCTAAGTCTTTGATGAATTTTGCGTAGAAATTCAGCAGGCCCAAGAAGGCGCGCAGTTCGGTTACATTGCTTGGCTGAGGTGCCTCCGTGATTGCTTTGATCTTTGTCGCAGTTGGAAAAATGCCATCAGTTGTCACTTTGTGTCCAAGATAAACGACGGACTGCTTGAAAAATTCACATTTCTGTTCTTTTACTGTGATATTGTGCTTTGCCAGTCTTTCAAGCACCTTTTCCACGGTTTGTCGACAGTCGTCTATGTTGTCGCCTACGACGATGACGTCGTCGATATAGCAGCCCACTTTTGGAATCCCTTTTAAAACTTCGTCCATTAACGACTGAAAGATAGCCGGGGCGCTAGCGATGCCGTACGGAAGCCGCTGAAATTGAAATAATCCGAGATGCGTGTTCACAGTTAACAACGCTTTGCTTTCCTCAGCTAGCGGCACTTGTTGATAGGCTTGCGATAGATCTAGGACGCAGAAGATCTTTCCTCCGGCAAGCATAGAATACAAATCTTTCGGCAATGGCAAAGGGTAATGGTCAGTTTTCAGAACAGGATTAACCGTGACCTTGTAGTCGCCGCATAATCGTAATCCTGCGCCGCCTTTCTTCGCGAGCACCACCAGAGGTGTCACCAAGTCGCTTTTCGTGACCCTCTTCAGGATTCCGCTTTGCTCAAGCTTTTCCAACTCCTTTGATACTTCCTCTTTCATCGCAAACGGTATTGGCCGTGCTTTTGAGAACACTGGTTGAGCCCCTTCTTTTACATAGATGCGAGCTTCGTAGTTCCTGACGATGCCCGGGGCGCCCTTGAAAACCTGGGGATACTTCTTCCGTAATGCATCTACCCTTTGATCCAGTGATCTATCCGCGGACATACTGCACACTGCTTTCCAGTTTATCTTTAATTTTCCCAGCCAGTCTCTTCCCAGGAGGGCGGGCATCAACGTTCCGTTCTCTTGTGCTATCACTACGGGCAAAGTGATCTCGCTTCCTTCATGGTCTACCAAAACTTTTGCTTTTCCAAGCACTTTCAGCTTTTCCCCTGTGTAAGTGCGCAATGACACATTTGTTTCGACGCATTTTACATGCGGAAAATACTGTCTGTACACACGCTCTGGTACGATCGTGACCGCTGCACCCGTGTCAATTATCATAGAGACAGTTTTCCTTTCAATCTTGAGGTCTACGCTGTAGCCCCTTGAATGTTTGCCTGAATAGAACACGGTATGGCAGCTCAATTCTTCGGATTCGTCGTCCGTGGTGTCGACGTATCTCACAGCCTTTGTTTTGGCTCCTTTCTTGCAGACGGCTTGCAAGTGCCCCTTTTTGTTACAATTTCGGCAAGTGTGGTTCCGATACCAACATTTTTCTGCCCCATGACGCTTTCCGCAATGCCAGCAAGCACTACGCAGTTCTTCATCTTGCTTATCTTTCGACCGTGATACTGCCCCCGATTCCTTTCCCTTATCACGGTGTCGTTCGCCCCGAACGGCGTTGACGCTGTGCGGTTTTCCGTCAAATTCATGCATTTGCTTTGCCTGTTGTGCAGCTAGCTCTTTCTCTAGCGCCGTTTTGCATGCCAGTTCAAACGTCAGGTCTGCTTGTGCAAAAAGGGCCCGTTGCGTTTCTTCGTCACGCAAACCAGCTACCAGTCTGTCCCTTAGTGCATCATTTAGAAACGTGCCAAAATTGCAATCTTTTGCCAGGTCCTTCAGTTCCGTGATGAAATCTTTGACGCCTTCATTTTCATGTTGCATTCGACGATTAAATTTACAACGCTCTGCAATGATTGAGTGAGCTGGGCTGAAATGACTTTCTAGAAGCTGTTTAACTTCCCCGAAGGTCTTCTGAGACGGCAAATGAGGCACGACTATCTTCTTTAACTCTTCATATGCCTCCGCTCCGAGTACGTTGAGAAACAGCTTAAGTTTCTTCTCTTCAGGGACATCATTTATGTCTACGTAGTTCTCAAAGCGTTCGAAATACGAGCGTATGTTGTCGATTTTCGGGTTGAATTCTGTCATCCTGCCGAGCTTAGGGCCATGGCCTGGTTCTGCCATAATGAGCAAACTTCACTTATCTGTAGAGCGGATTTCCTCGATGCGCCTAGTCCGTACTGCCCGTGCTCGTTCGCTTGCTCCAACCGGCCGCCGAAGTTCATGCAGGGGCTCCGTAACGCCTTACTTCCACGCGGCGTTCCTGCGCTGCTCCAGGCCGTCGATGAAATCCTGGCTGCAAGGGCTCAGTGTCGCCTTGCACCGTGGACGGTTCAACCTAGTGACTGCTGCTGGCCGGCAGCGACTGACTGCGCGCCAAATCCCATCCTCGTCGCCAGATGTTCTGTTCTAAGCAGCAGACAGACGCCTTGATGGCAGCAACGCAAAAAGCCTTTATTCCCAGACAGCAGCGCTCTTTTATAGATAACACTGCATGCCGGGCGAGCACACGTCATCGGGGTTATACAATCTTATCAGAGCCCGTGGCCGGTACGGAACACTCGTGTTACTCTTTTATTTGCTGCTCCTCTCGTCCCGTACAAGAGACGTAGCGTACTCGTTACGGCTTATTGAGCTCGATTTGCTCAATTCGGGGCCGCCATAATGAGATGCAGGCGACGGAGGAACTTTGCTCCCCTGCTTCAGGAACGGCAGTTTTTTCCTTTCTAAAGGAACCTAGGTTACAAGACCGTTCCTCCCCCTAGGGAGGACTATCCATACCCTTTTTTCTAAGAGTGTATAGAGTAATATTGTAACGGATGGGAGTGATGACTCGATAAATAAGCCAATGAGAAACTGTAAAAACGAAACATTTAAGGCCACGGTCCCACTGAATCTGGCAGTTTAGGTACTTTTTGGCAGGTCTTTACTCATCTCCTTTTAAATACTGTTTTGTGGGATTGATGTCATTCGAAAGGCAATGCAATTCTCTTTCATTTGATATTATGTGTGTGTTGGTTTTTACTGTTCATGCGCACTTGTAGCGTTGCGAATATGATGACGCGGACCCTCACTTGCTCCGCTAGTTCATGTTTTATGAACGATCCATTAAAGATAACACGGTTCCGATATAGCAGTTTTGTTAAGATGATGTCGGAGCAGAATATAACGATACACTTTTTTGGTATTTGCACCACTTTGTTTTTTTCATCCCTCCAAATATTGCCCTAAAATTGACATTTTACAGCACAAATATGTTTTTAACGACAAGCGCTAGGGTAATGAAATTAGCTACAGATGTAGTGCTTATAATTGGTAATACGCAAAAAAAATTTAATGTTGTGTAAATTTTTTTTTGTGTAGATATTTTATATCAAACGTAGCACTTTTTCGTGCTTCGAGTCATGGTACTTCAAATGCCGCTGAGGAAATAATTAAACTATGATAAAATCTTTGATAACATTTAGAGCTACAATGGCTGCCCAAGAGGTGGACGATGGCTTTTTTTCATTTTCAAAGTAATAACGCTCCAGGAGCCCTTCAAACTTACCTGTTTTTGACGCATATCTTTTTTGGACATTAAACAGATTTATTGGCATCTAATTACATTTATTGGTTGGAATAGATATACATTGCGATGTATTACATTTTCACAATGATCTTGCTTTGGTTTCTTAATAGGTGTAGAGCTTAGCTAATGTTAAAAACAATTAAAAACTGTTTGGGTGTTTTGTTGCGCCACCTGGTGGATGGCAGACAAACTGCTGATTTCTAATGTTCAAAAAATTTCCGAAGGCGGCGTTGGCGTCTGTATCATCATCAATCTCCGGTCTTTTTACCTTCACATTTAAAAAATATATGGAAAGATTTACTATCGATAAATGGATGGTTTAAGTACTGGTTCAGGTTAATAAATCTAAGACAAATAATTACACAAGCGTAGCGTGACATAATGCGTTCATTATTCAATATGGTTGAAATCAATAAACAATAAAGACGAAGAGGAAAAGAATACACCCGAGTTCACTTCATGCCTAGAGTCAATAAATGAGCTTTTAAGTATCGGCCCTCCGTTCCCCAAAATTGTTAGGGCGCCGCCATTTTGGGTCTTGTTCAGAGCAAACGCAACTGCCGATTGTCATGATCCAAAAGTACGACTTCCTCAGCATTAGATGCGGTGCTAGGAAGCTGATGCACTAATGCAATGCTCTGTCGCGGGTTGTTTAAACATTTGTGGGGGACGGAAAAGCGTTTCCTGTGATTTTAAATAAAGCTTCAGATAACTGGTACCCATGATTTTAAGCCACAATATAGCCAAGTGTTGTTACTCTGAATCGTAGCTAATTTACTGGCAGAAGCGGGAACAATGAGGATGAGGCAGGTGTCAAAAGGTAGTGGCTTGTGGAATCCACGGGGCTTACGTCATGGCCCCTTGAGGTATTACAAGCCTCTTGAACAAGAGCATGAATAGTGTCATTAAATAAGCTACGCTTCAGAGTAGCGACACTTGGCCATATTGTGGCGTAAAATCATGGTTGCGCGTTATTTGAAGCTTTATCTGAAATCACAAGAAACGCTTTTCCGTCCTTCACTTTAAACAGTTTGCGACAAAGCAAAGCAACATTACATGAGCTTCCTAACACCGAATTTAATTCTGAGGATGTCGCACTTTTGAATCATGACGATCGGCAGTTGCGCCTGCTCTGCACAAGCACCAAAATGGCGGCGTTCACAACACTGTCGGGGAAGAGAGTGCCGATACTCTAAGCGCAGCTCATTCATTGGCTCTAGTTCCCGCGAAACTCCTTTTCCCTGACTGAAACTGAAAGTAAATATGAATAATATACCATTATTATGGCTTATTTAGTTATAACCAACTCCACATAATGAGAGGACGAAGCGGCCGGGTAGGAGAAACGCGGGTTTTATGTGCGACCGTTCTAACCGTCTCAAAAGAGGGAACGTGCGAGCTTGCGCTGGTTTAAAAAAAAAGGCATCCAAAGAAAAGAGGCGGCACGCTGTGTTCTTTAATATTATGCGTCTAATTGCAAATTGTTGTGTGTATGTTTATACAGCCGGAAGTTAGTCTGCCTTAGTGGGCGTCTGGTGTCTCAGCTGTAGATGAGCAATTTAGCCAGTGCGGTACAACCGCAAACCTGGGGTCTTTAACGTGCACTACGCAGTAGTGATACATGACCGCACGCCGGTACAATGCTCATCCAGATCGAAACGGGCAGGGGCGGGGTGGGTTCTGCAGCGCGAGCTTTCGCTCCACGTGCTCCATGCTAGTGTGCCCTATACTTCGTTTCACCATATGTGCGAGCGAAGACAAAGCTGGAAGCGCGAGCACGAAAGCTCCGTGCGTTCAGGCTTTGCACGAGCGCGTGAGCTGGGGAAAAACGCAAAAAGCGCTGGCCTCGCACTTTTAGCTTTGGCTTCGCTCGCAGATAAGGTGAAACGAAGTATAGATCATGCACTCGGCCACCAACCCTCCCCCCCCCCCCCCCCCCCCTTGTGCGTCTGACCGCCGAATTCAGAAACCTCACTCAAACTACACTCAAACTAAAGGGCCCCTCCACTTCCTCGAGGAAGGCGCGAGGGCCGGCGCTGGCCAAACACCAGGACGGATCCGCCGTCGCGGTTGGCCAGCGCCGGCCCTCGCGCCTTCCTCGAGGAAGTGGAGGGGCCCTTTAGTTTGAGTGTAGTTTGAGTGAGGTTTCTGAATTCGGCGGTAATTTATATATAGGTATAAGTATTTTAAGAACAACGATGGACGTCGATCGTCTCGAGGTAATGTAACGTAATAACATTATATAAATAATAAACTTATGAAGGACTGAACGACTCAGTTTTTCAATTCTTGGATTGTAATATGGCGGTAGCCTATTGTACTTACTGTTGATGAAGAGCAATATGAGCTGACGAGGTAATGATTAAATGATGAGGCTCTTTAAGGACGACGACATTAGTGGGTGTCGAACCACAACGTACAGTGCCAGACTTGTTTCAAGTATCGTGTACCCAAAGGCTTTTCTTCACCCGCAACAGAATACGGTAGAATCAATGAGGATGCTGCTTTACAACTGCACGTGGAACAGGAAAACTGCACTGTGCAGAAATGCGGCTTAGTCGGTAATAGGAGGGACGGATTCCTAGCAGCATTCCCTGATTGCCTACTTGGAACAAATGGCCTCGTTGACGTAAACTGTCCCCGTTCCAAAAGATTCTTGAAGCATACTTAAACCGCAAAGGAGTATGACGCGAAAAATAAAAAAAAAGGAGCCTGGTGTGAAAGGTCCAAATCAGCACCATAGCTTCTACTATCAAATACAATGGCAGTTGCACAATACACAAAGAGAGTTTTGTGATTTAGTTATATTGACACTCAAGGGCATTGATATCCAACGTATTCAGAGAGATGACACGTTCTGGTCAACCAACATAGAGTCTTTTCTACTCAAGTTTTACATGGAAGGCCCGACTTCCGCTGATATTCCTCACGTAGACGAGTTGTCCGACTGAATAAACTGCCATTACTTCCGATCTGGGAATCTCTCGGTCTTCGTTCGTAGGCCATAGTATCATGAGCTCGAGCGGTGTGGCTCTTCGTCCGCCGAATATTGCTTCGGCGGGTGTTTTTACCGTGTAAGATGAGACCGGTCGCGTGCTGCTGGAACAAGAACCTGGTGATTCTTCACTGAGCTGCTCCTTCCGTAAGCTTCAAAAGGGCTTTTTTTTTTGTTTCGCACACCATTTGTTCTGCTTGCACGTTAGTTGCAGGATGCTATGGTGCACTAATGTGATGCCTGATGCCGGTTTTTTTTCTTCAAAAACTTGTTTATTTTATTGAAGAAAGATTTGGCGCGTTTTCAGAGAAAAGTATTTTTGGTAGAGCAAAAGTAGGTAAAAGAGACCGTAGAACGTCAATGACGTGTTAGGACGTCGTGGCAGGCATCGTGTAAACTTTCAGCCATTTAGAGTACGCATCGACCATGACTCCGCAGATGCGGATACGTTTTGCCACCCACCGACTGAATAGTGGATCGTTTTCAGTTACTGTTCATGATGGCGTTGGACTCAAGGAAGACGTCGAGTCTTTCCAGAAAGTTAGCCCAGGTGCCAGAACTTTTGTCGAAAGCGGTAAGTGTTCGAAACGTCAGCAACGTCGGTAGCCACGTGTTGTGCTTGACAGTGAACACTTACCGTTCGCCGAGAGGAACTTGCTTGTTCGTCTGCCACGAGTCGTCCGATATCAGGTCATCACCGCAACACCATCTCCCAACAAAACTGGTCTTCATTGTCCGCATGTCCATAGTTAGCAATCACGTGAACTTATAAATTCCCGAACGCTCATAATTGCCGTCGCTAAACGCCTTTCATTTATAATGTCTTCATTGCAAATAAACGTCTTCCTATTTCTTCTAATGGTTTTCATCATATTCCTCCTAAGCTGTCCTTACAACATTATGTGTGTCGGTACTTTCGAAAATATTGCAACTGCGTTTGTTTACTGGGAACTATAATGTAACAACCTT